TGGCGATCGCATCCTCGGTTGACCGGTTCTCCCTGTATGCAAACTGGTACGAATCCAGGGATGGTGGAAAAGCAGCTCTGATGTGTTTAATGACCAGTCTCTCCAGGTATTTGGCGGGAATGGGGGTGATTGATTGATGTACTGTATGTATTGATGTATCAAGACATTTTTTTTTTCAATCAACTTGCGATCATAACAAAAACACATGCAACCAACAGAAACAATAAACATGGATGTACTTGATTATGATATTATTATAATTATTATTTGTCTTTATTTAGGGCCTGAACATGTGTTCATGGAGCAGGGAAAAGACTTACTTCTGGATATAAAAGGCTCTGTTGCACTCACCGAAGGGGCAGATTTCTTCTGGAGATTTAATATCATTCACATAGTAGCTAAAAGTAATTATCTTAATTCAGTAGTGTTTGGCACATATAAAGGCAGGGCTAAGATTTTTGTACAAAATAATTCTTTGCTGTTGAAGAAAGTGCAACACAGTGACAGCGGAGATTATATTGCAATAGTAAGTGGGGAACAAAACCAGAGGGTAGCTGAATACAAGGTCATAGTCCAAGGTAGGTTTCTATTTTTATTATAACTGTTAAATACTCATGCAGCATAGACCAGCTGTCAATCTCTTTGTGCCTGTTGTTGCTCCTCAGATCCAGTTTCTCCAGTTAACCTGACAGTGGACTCTGTGGACAGCAGTTCAAACTCCTGTAACCTCACTGTGACCTGCAGCACAGTGGATTCTCACATCAGCAGCAGGTTTAGATGTGACACCCAAAACTGCTCTCATGTAGAAAATGGTAGCTTGAAAGCCAAACCCCGTTCTTCCACTCTCATTATTTATTTTCAGCAAGACTTCATCATCTGTAATCACAGCAACCAAGTGAGCTGGAAACACAAGACAGAAAAGATAACATCTTACTGCAAGACACTTTCAGGTAAGAATAAAAGACAATCTCACAAAGGGTAGCTGAATACAAGGTCATAGTCCAAGGTGCATGTTGATTATTATATGAGCACAGAACCACAACAAGCAGTGCAAAATTAATCATATGAAATCATTTGTCTGCTTCTATTTATCTGAAATATCATTTCAATTAAAATGTCAAAACCGATGTTAAAGACCTGGGTAGATAATGTTGATAATTAATTAAAGTTCATTCATAAATTTCTTCCCATAGTGCTGCTTTTTCGAATGGAAAATACCCATTCAATTTTGGGAGAAGTACTTGCATAATATTTTTATCATGCATTGTATTCGATGTAGTGTTTTAACATGTTCTCCACCACAGACATACCACCAAATTTTTCACTAGCTTCCTAGTGATAAAAAAAAGAAAGAAACTGAGATATTAAACCAACATTAGCAGCACTTTTGAATGTGACACTGACACTCAGACCTGCTGAGAATCAGTCAAGAAAGTCACAGCCTTTGGTGCTTGATTTCAATTTATAGGTTGGAATTAAACTTAAAGAGTGGGAGCAATTCTTTTTTTTTTAAATAAAAAGTTAGTGTTTCCAATTAAATATGTTCACAAACTTTAAAAAAAATACAAATAAGTACATGTGGAACATTGGCTCATAAAAATAATAACATAAATCTTGAACCTTTTTGTTAGGCTTACAAGTAGTTTGTTGTTATGTTTGACATGATATTTAAAACTTAAAACGTGGTATTGCATAAGGTCTTTCTTTGGAGCCTTTTATGCATGTACTTGCATGTATTTTGAATTAGAGTTCACTAAGTTACAAAGTCAAAAAAAATGCTATTAAAGCTATTTAAATTCAAATTTAGACCTTAGTAGTTTTCTTTTGACCATCTTGTGCTTAATGTCACATTCTGGATCTGAATTTGTGGTGAAGTCATGGTTTTCTGTGTTGCAGGTTCAGAGACTCCTTCTGATGGCATCTCCATCTGTCTGCTGAAGGCAGTCCTGTTCTCCATCGGTCTGATCATCATGGTGTT